AAAAAATATACTAAAAACCTGGATTATTCTGCTTAGTCACATTGTACTGCTATTATTTTGAACAATACTGTACATGGCTGAAAAACAGATGTCTCAACACAACTGTCTTCTTCAGTTTAGTGACTCAGGTATTTCTACCCACTCATGTGATCAGTATAGGTGAAAGTGATAACACTAACTAGCGCTACTTCACATCAGGCAGACAATCAACACATTTCATTAACACGCATAAGTCATGCCTGCACAAAACAACCTCCATCCGTTACTATAGGTCACATTCCATACACCTGTACACCACTTTACCAAACATTAAAAACTCTAGAAAAACATGGTCAAATTTATTTCGTATTAAATCCTACAACATGCATGAGTTAAATCAACCCAAATAGAGAGAGCTCAACATCTGAATTAAACATCAAGTTAAAAACCCTCATGCACAGTTCAAAATTTGGAGGTCTTGACACAACCGGTATAAGAGTCAGTTCTTCATTCATGTCTGCTGGGGACAGACTATCGAGTCTGTAAATCCATTTTCCCTCCAGTTTTAACTATATATTATCCATATCACCTCCACAACGCCTTGGTTGTATATCAACAGCAATGCACGGCGTGCTACTGGTGAACTGACATCATTCCTGAATGGAATTTTCTTGTTATTTTTCCAACATAAATCATTTCACAGGACAAGACAAAATGTAGATAACACTGTCCGTGCAGATTCTCAGTCATCCAGATCATAGTAAGATGAAAAAACTTTTTTTTAAAAATCAACTGCACGAAGTTTCTAGGTCGAAGACGTTTCACCTCTCATCCAAGAGGCTTCTTCAGTTCTGCCCGACTGGCGTTGAGCCGGAAATATTTATTCCCATCGGTGGCGTTTCAGTTCTTTGATGCCCGACAATGTCCCCTAATGACTGAGTTGTTATAGCCCAGTATCGGTGAGTGCCGTTACCTGTCTTTGAACCCTCCCCTGTGGACCGACGCCTATTGTCCTGGTGGGCATGTTTAGGTAGAGATCTCAAAACAGAGTTGTAGATGGATGACAAGATGAGTCTTAGTTCACCAAGTATGCACCAGTATTTAGAAACAATAAACTTAAAGACAGGTGTACTAAACAGGTTATATGTAACAAAAGCAACTGAACAATCTGAGAATTATCTTGGCTTTGGAAAAAGGGCCTCTCTTTGTACACTAAAAAAACCTTTTATAGCCCCCCCATCAACAAGTGCTCAGAACACTGATGTTCACTAAATCTGTGCAATATATCAGCTGACTTTTAAAGTGCATCCAAATGTTTTTTCTTTCTGCTTCATTTTATCAGCTCAAGACTGAACTTTGACTTTTGCCTGAAAATGAAGGAAGACAAACATGTTTCTGTTAATCTGATGGAACTCTATCAGCTTGTGTGAGAACCAATAAAATGGTCTGTTGTACTGTCAGCTACAGCTCAGTACTGCAACGCTCTTCTCTCTGAGCCCTGTGTTGCTGGCCTACATTTGTTCACATGTAGGCAGTGTCCCCATTAACAGTATGGGAAGGAGCAGTGACCAGCTCCGGTGTCCCCACAGATGTACAGACAACTGTCACTGGATCACTGTGATACTGAAGGAAACAAAGCCCATGGCCTGCTCAATTTCAGCCATCTAATGTTTAATCTTGGGTACCTCTAGAGTCAAATTATTTCAGAATGAAAAAAAAACTGAGATCCTCTTCCTTAAAATGAGAGAACAGTTCATGAACGCGCACAACTCCTGTTGCCAGTGTTGTGTCCCAAATGGACAGCACAATGAACTGCGACAGCATTAATTAATATGAATTTCTCCTCCACAGTTAGGTAAACATCGGTATATGTACCAATGAAAAGAAATGTAATGTAAAGTGTGTAACTGAGAAACCCCATATTTTATCTGGCATAATGCAGACATAGTAACTTCTCCAGCCTTACGACAATTCTCTCTAACGTTACAAAACAAGGTATTAACAGACGCAGTGTGTTTTTTTAAACTTAGCATTAAGCCCCACCAAGTAGTGGAAACACTGCTCCCTTCCAAGTAGCTCCAAGGTCGGTAAATCAAACCGGTGGTCACTGCGTCTTCCCCCACGCGACCACATACAGTCCCAAAGTAGTGAAATTAATTCCAACAGGTAGCGTAGCACCGACAATAACATCATGGGTTGCACTAGTTGCAGAGTTTAATGCACTAGTTAACCAGCAACACATCACATGCGGCAGACACATTGGCCTCAGGCAGAACAAACAGGTACTGTGCTCCAGGGGAATCCAGCGTTGATGAGCTGATCACTAACCGCAGTGGTGGCTTCACAGGTCGGCTGCTTGTAGGTTAGACCCGGTCAGGTAAAACAGCGAGTCCCTGTACAGGAACATTCCCAGACATGCAGTAACCTCAGGCCCTGTATTTTACTCCACATGCTCTGGTCACAGTGCAGCAGCAGGAAGGAAAATATATCCACAAAACCAGGCGCAGTCGAAAAATTCTGCTTTTACAATGGCACCGGTAGACTGAAAATATACATAGCAAACAAGGCAGTATAACATTTTGCCAGTATGGTGGGAGCACCGGTGGATGTCACCCAAGCTCACATGAACACGCAACGGCCTGGAGATTATGATCATTCAAGGAGATTCCTTAAACTGTTGCTTCATACTTAATTTTGTTATAAAAAAAGTCTCACGAGCGAGAGTTTGCAAGACGTGTATAAACTGAGCTGCTTTTGCATAGAAGTACTAGAACATAGGTTCACCTCACTTTTTAGCTTTAGGTCGCGTCTAAAATGATAATTCACCGCTGCAACAATGTAGATAAGTCAGAAAACAAGGAAAAGTGCCATGGGCTCTTTAATGTAGACTGTGTCCCTAACAGGATTCAATAGGAATGTAGTGTTTCCAGTGCTCTAATTGGTCTGTGGCCAATTGTTGGCGGGTTTTGATCTGATCCTCTAAGAATATCCTGCTCCGGAGTAGGTTAGCCATGCAGCATCTGTTACCATGGTGACTGGCATGGTATTGTGGTACCAGAAAACCTTGGCTGAATCCAAAGTTAATCTCACTTCGTGGTACAGGTGCCTGGTCTATTATTTAAAATGATGGTGTTTATTTTACCATGAGATGACACGTACCTTCCTGCAGCACAGGATGGATGATCTGCCTGTGTTTCATCAGCTTCAAGTTTTTCAAAAGAATCTTCTCAGAGGCAGAGATCCTGTCCTGCTGACTCTCCGCTGTCTCTGCTGGACATTACCACATTTATATTAGCCAACTTTAATTCAAGAAACACTGATATTGTTGTTTCATGTAAATAAGATACATCTTAGCTTGTTACAGTGTCCAGAACATGTGTAGCTTAGCTTGGCACAAATAGTGGAAGCAGATGGAAACTAGCACCCAGCACAGACATAAAATCAGTGCAAAAAAAGCAGTGTTATGTCAGCTTTTTCACTGCTGCTACTAACAACGAACATTTCAGACATTATACTAGCTGTCTGTAGCCATGTTGTGGCAGCAATAGCTAGTATATTCTAAATTATAACTAAGCATTAGTATTTTACTTTATAGCTCCTGTTAATTTACATTTAGATTCTACCTCCTGAACAGTTAGCTTCTAGGCTCAATTACCTAATAAATCTTAATGTCTTTAAGCTGTTTTCACATTTGAGTTTTCAAGTTCGCTTCTTAGGTCTAATTAGCTTCGTGATTGCTTTAGTTCCTGTAAGTTCTGAGATCTTTTTATTTCAGAGTTAACTTGTCCCACCCCCCATCATGTGCTCCTTCTACCAGGGCACCATTGAGAGCGTCATCACTGGCTGCATCACTGTGTGGTACAGAGGCTGTACTGCCTCCTGAAGAAGGACCCTGCAACGCATAGTGAAAACAGCCAGCAAGATCATCGGCGCCCCTCTGCCTTCCCTTACGGACATCTTCAACACCCGCAGAACCATTAGCATTGCTGATGACACCTCCCATCCCGCACACTCCCACTTCAGGGAGAAGGTATCAGAGTCTTCAGGCCCACTCCACCAGGCTGTGAGAATGCTGAACACCGTCCATTACCCCCCCGGACTGTGACCCACCACAAAACATAAAGACTACCTCTGCTGTTTTGCACAAACCCACTACATTCCAACGTCTTGTTATATTACATGCAAATTTGCTGCTGTTGGTCATTTGCACTACTGTCTAAGTGCATCTCAGTCTCACAACCATTTGACAATCTTCTTGTTATTATTAGCACTACTGTCACTGATTGTACATTGTTTGAGTCATAGCCTATTAGGTTGTACCATTTAGCTTTATCCTAAATCACTCTTAGTTCTATTATTCTTTTTAGTCTATTTTTAATCTTTTATTCTGTTTTAGTTTCCTAAATGGCATGGCACTGAATACTAGGTGAGAAAGAAACAGTATTTCGATTTTCTGTATGTCCTGCACATGTAGTGACTTGACAATAAAAATCTTTGAACCTTGAACGTCTAGGCTCAGTTATCTTAGCAACTTCTTGTAGCTTCAATATAGCTACATCTAAATTTTTGCTTCAAGGTTCTGTTAGTTTAAAGTTAGTTTCAAGTTTCCATTTGCATGAAGTTAATTCCCAGCTCTTTTTTGTTTAGAGTTGGCTTCTACGGCCAGCTAACTCTTGAGTTAGCTTGTAGTTTCTGCTAGAGTTAGTGTTTACAACATGTTCAGGGGAACTTAATAGATAAACCAAACCAGCCAATTACTGGATGCTAGCAATGTGCAGATCAATCCTGACATATGGATACTTCTGATCCCAACATTCTCATACTAAAATATCAGTATCTCAACTAAGGAATTTGAGGTAAATATATATTATGCCAACAACAGGGGACACAACATGAACTAACTACACCATTACCAAGACAATAATATCCGGCTGACAGGAACTACTTCTCCGTCCACCTGTCATAGTCATATGCAAACTACAGCTCTGTTAATGTGTGATCCACTGAGAATAAAAATAAGAAAAACTTTATTAATCTCCACAGGGAAATGGCTTTGTAAGAGTTTCTCTATAGTGTATACGTTGTATAATTATACAAGAAATTCAGTACAATACAAAACAAAAAAAGCACTCGGGTGTATAGTCTGGAGTCTCACAGTAACAGAGTGAGGTCACACATGATCACCTGGAGGAGGATGTCAACAGCAATCCAGAGCATATATGAAAGCTTCCTTGGTATGTAGTGAGCCATGGACGTAGGGTGGCACCATTTGTCGTTAATAAAAGCAGCAACCCCTTATAAGTACACTTTATATTTCCTCTGTCTCTGTTTTCAAGACCCATCTCTTTTCCCTTGTTGTTTTTTATACAAAGTATTGATACTGTTTCGGTGATACCAGCCCGGTGTTTTCTCCAGGTATCAGACTGGAAATGAAATAAGTGGTATCGCACATCACTACTGGACGGATGGTGACTAGCTTGTTAGCTAACAAGATACATCATGCAATTCTGACAGCTTTAAAGTTGTTTGGAATGCAAATTATTTTTCTTGACGAAGCTATACCAACAGTTTCTGCTGTGCTCTTAATGCTAAATGAGACCAATTCTGTCCTGGATGATCTCTGTAATGGCTACACAAAGATAAAACTGATCACATTCTTATCTTACTATTGAACATGTAAATATAACCATTGTATACATCAGTCTGAAAGCTCTTCTTCTGTAATGTATATTGATGTACACATATTTATAAAAGCCGTTTCTCTTTTCCTCTCCTTTCCTATTTTTGATTGCACATATTTCCTATTTGAATGCATACACTGCTTATTCTTATTTTCATTTTATTGCTCTACTTTTTATCTTTATTCTCATTATCTCCTATTCCTGATGCCTTACAGCACATTGAGAGTCTCTGTACCGGAATCAAAATCATGTATGCTCAAACATATTTGGCAATTAAAGACAATTCTGATCCTGATCAAATAAATGAAACATACAACTGTTACAACGTGATCATGTCTTTTACCATTCTCAGGTGCGTCAGCAGGTTGTTGCAGGTGACCTTCAGGTGTCGCCTCAGGGTGTGGGACTGCAACTTGCGAGTCCACAATGTGAAGTTTGAGGGCCTCCTAAAATATGAGGGTTGGTTTTTACTCTCCATACGCAAATTATATTGATGTACTGTATATCATGAGCCACGGTACACTGCATGTCCCCGTCATATCACAATCTTTACTGATAGCATGTAAAGTCAGTCTGTGCACTGCTGTCACTCACTACAAGCTGTGCAGGGCTCACATTAGGGAGAAGAAATGATATGATCTGCTCTAGTGTTATAATATTAGATGATTCTTCAGGTTCTTCATAAACCTGAAACTATATTCTACTTAAGTTATCACAGTATAGCATGAGAAAATATAATATGTCACTATAACCTGAAAAATATCACATTTTAACGTGGAGGTATCGAAAAGACGAGAAACATATCTCGTTATAATGAAAAATGTTTCAGCTTTCATCTGAGAAGTTTCTTCAGTTCTGACTGCTGGGGAGTCCCATGAATTTTACTTCGGTGGAATCCTTAAAGCAGTTTGTGTTAAATTGTCTTGGGAGGGATCTAAGCACTGCAGTGCAAGATGCCATAAAAGTTAAATACCTGGGACTCCCCACCAGTCACACAGAACTTCAAAAAAAAAAAAAACTTCTTAGATGAGATGAAACATCTTCAAAAGAGCCTCAAGCAAGTCCAGTTGACAATTTTACCACTTTGGAAATACCACAACCTGGCAAATCTATACAGATATCCCAGGAAACACATTGTATTACAGATAGATCACTGAAGCATTTGCTTTACCTTTGATGTGAATGAGATAAATAACTGCTCCTCCACTTCCTCCAAGTTAGGCTGCATCCTAGTGTAGGTAGAGCTGTCCATCTTCTGAGCAACACCCATTCTGGCAAGCTTTCGGCGCTGCGACTTTTTATTGCGCTTGCAGACTTTGTTGGCTTGGATTAACTGCACGTGCTGAGAAGGCTCATGTGCATTTGATTCTAATGTGCTTGGAGGTGAGCAGGGAACAACAACTCCCTCAGTGTTTGAAAACTCCACCTCCATTCCAAGGTCATCATTGGTGGAGAAAAAGTGTACGAGGTCTGCGATCGAAGGTGTGGGTGACAATCCTTCTCCATCTAATGAAGAAAAGGTTGGAGACAGTGGCAGCTGAAGTGCAAAGGGGGAGAATTCGACTGGGAATGGCAGAGACTGTTCGTTCTCTTGAAGAGATGAAGCAGAATCAGGGGTAGGCTTGCAGGGATCAAGAGTCTGTGGTTCAGGGTGGGAGGTACTCTGGGAACGCAACAAAGGTGGTGTAACAGACACTAAAGGCAGGTCTTGTGGTGTAGGCTGAAATGTTACAAATGAGGTGTCTATGTATGGCTCCCGTAATACTGTATGCCATTTAAACACAGATGCAGCAGAATCTTCGCTTTGATGCATCTCTTCAGGAGGTATCGCTTTAAAAGTTGGTTCAGAGGTTGTGGACTCGAGCTCCAAAGCCAACGACGCAGGTAGGGGAGGTAAAGGTTCTGGAGAGCTCGCAGGTGACAAAGGCTCAAACCCAAAGGAAGAACACTCTGGGTCAGCAAGCAAAGAATCAGTCTTCATGGTGGGGAAGTCTGAAGGTTGTGTGGAAGACTCAGTGATGTTTGGAGTTTGTGGAGATTTCAAGAGAGGTAACATTATTTCAAGGGGTGGTGGCAAAATGCAAGATGCAGAAGAGGTAGCAAGAGTTGAGGTGGATGTCCCTGGGGTACAAAACTGATGATCTGAGTTGGGTAACACTGATGTATCATAAGTTACTGTTGGATCTGTGACTGGGTTTTCAGCAACTGCTGAGCTTTCAGTTCTTGATCTGTTTGGATCTGTAGTGAAAGGCTGAAGGGCTGCTTCAGTTGCCAGATTGTCAGATTTTGTAAGATCTTTCAAGGGATGAGTTACATTTCTGGAATGATCAGAAGGTGGACATGCAGAAGAACACTGTGATCCAGAAAGAGATTCAGATGGTACTACTGAGGGAGGACAGTCCAATTTGCTCTTGGCTTTTTTAGATTTTGTTGAATGCTGCTTCAAAAAAAGAGCAAGGGCCGGCAGAGGTAGAGGGGCGGGCCGTTTTTGCTGCTTTACACTCACCTCTGACGATGGTTCAGGCTCACCTCTCTGATCTGAGTCCACAGAGGAATCCTGGCATAGTACTGGAACAGCAACAGCAGCACTGTCGTCAGAACAATCTGCCCTGACACTGTCCTTACAGTTCAGTGAATTCAAAAGGTGCTTGTCCTCTTTAACTTTTCTATTTGTTACAATGGTCTCATCATTCTTTCCAAGTGACACATCACTATGCATTTTAACAGATATACTGTCCTTTCTGGAAGTGTCTTGTCTGCTAGTTTTCAAAGCTGTGGCCTTAGTGTTTGTTCTCTCAGCTCTGTAAGAGGTGTGGTTATTGATTCCCAGCTGCTCCAGGTTGTACCTCTGCAGTGAAACATGAGCCTCCCGAGTAAGTTCAGAAAATAACTTCCGAACTGGATGAGAACTGCTGCTGAAGGAAACATTAAGAATGTCACATTAGAGCATCAGTAGTATTAAACATGTTACTTAAATCATGGTAAGCTGCAGAAGTAAATGATGACATACTTGATGTGACTGGTAAACTCACAGGGAACAATACAGGTTATGAGTTCAACTAATGTCAACACTTATGTATAGATGCTGTATAGCACATTAGCGACTGATAACCAAGCTTCATGCATCTGTTTTAACATTTGGTGTCAAACCTTAGGTATTACCACTTGTTCACACATAAGGACTTCAACACCAGAGAGACAACAGGTTAGCCTTTATCATGAAGAGAACCTGTAAAAGTATACAAAGATATTCTGTGCCCTCCTGCAACTATTTTTCAAATGTGCTACCTGCCCTGTGCACGTAGTGCCAAATAGCAGTTGAGACAGAAACAAATCACTTTGCAGTTATAAGTTGGGGTTGCAGCTTAGCAAGGAAAAAGGAGTGCTTGGTTGGATGCAAGGCATCTCCCTGTTAATGCAAACACACCGGAATCATTTTCAAGTGAGACTGAGATCACACAGGAATCTGAATCATGGTCACACAACAATTTATCGTCAATACTAATCACACCTGAATGCTGCAGGCCATATGTGTGAACAGGGTATCAATAAAAACATTCAGACACCCATTGTAGTGCAAAGTTATATCATGAAAGTGGGTGTAAACTGAGTAACAGGTCTAAGAAAATTCAATAGGTAACAAAACATCATCAGAATATAAGGTGCATAGCCATGAAACAATGCTTTAATGAATTCTGGATTACACAGATGGGTGTTTAAAAGGATCTGGTCTTCATTCTCGCAATCTCTTGTACATTTGGTACAAAGTTTTTGCAGAGCATGCCATCTTCCCTGACAAAGTGAATCTCTTACCACGAACTTTCCCTGGGAATCTTGGGACATGATTTATCTTCATTTATTGTGGCGTTTTTCTGGTCATCGCCTGCCGCTGAAGTTTTTGAGTCCACTGATTTTGAGCTTCTAGGTTTATGGTTTGCAAGCAAAACCTTCAAGCTCTTCTTCACAGGATGTTGCTCATTGGTTATTTTGCCTCCATTTCTGGAAGCCTCACGGCCAGAGTTTATTTTCAGCTTAAGGCCCCACGAACTGAATCCATCCTCCTTCAGTCCTTTAGCAAAAGGGTTGTAGCCGACTTTTAGCTGAGCAAACCGTGAGTTCTGATAAGCAGTGACTGCCATAAACTCGGTCTGTGGGAAAGTAAATGTGACAACATTGGGACCATCTAGCTTTATGTCTTTAGCAGCTTTGTCAGTTTGGACCACATGCAGTCGTGGCAAGTAGCGGTGCATTGCGTGTAGGATGGTGTTCGCCTCTTGGTCTGAAATGTTGTTTGTAAGCTTCAGTTTGTAAAAGGACACTGGATTCTGCATCCAGTGTTGACCCGTTGATGGAGACTCTGGATGTTCAAATGGTTGACTCTTCACATGACATTCTGCTTTTCCAGCAACTTGCCAGCCCTTGCCAGTCCATTTATAGCGGCAGTTGTCTAAAGGTTGAATGTCCATGATCAAAAAGTACTTCTTGGATGGCTGCAAGCCAGAGATGCGAAAGCGGCAGTAGGGGAACATCCTGCTGCCTTGTTTGGTCAGAATCATCTCTGTTTTGCATCTGAAGAACTCATTCCACATGCTGTTGTTGTCCAGTGTCACTCTGATGCCTTTGCAAATGCTATCAGATGACAGGTTGTCTGCTTGAGGATTTGAACTGGCAGGATGTTTCATAGCCGGTAGTCCACCAGAGGTACTGATGGCTTCCATTGACATGTTGTGTTTACCCACCATGTCTGGTCCTTCATTGGTTACACGGGTGCTTTGTTCCATTTGGCCTTCGCTTGCCTTCCCCGGCTTCAGAACAACAAAGCACACAGCTGGATGGTCAGCTGCAGGGGTGGCTATCCCTTCCTCATGTAACCCCATATCTTTCTGCTTCTTCTTAGAAGCCATGGACAGGTCCCAGACATCTAAAAGACAGGAGGCTTCCACTTCTTTAACATCTGTGCTATGGTTCAAGACAGCATCCTGTAAAACAAAAATGATAAACTTTGATGAACTACTTGACATTGTGCAAATAGCAAACTGCAGCATGGCTAAATTGTCACCCTTTCATTCACAATGCTCATTCTGATAGTACTTTGCCAGTAGTAAATTTGAAGAGTTTCTAATAAGTATAACCACAGAGTTCTTCAACACAGAACTACAGATGGTTACTGGATAAAAGAGCCACACCATAGGGTTGTATCGGCATCGGGTGGTGGACACACTGGGTTTTTCCTTCAGTTTATTATGTAGAGTGAATGTGAGCTGTGAAACCAGTTCTGGCATATTCAGACAGTGCAGCTGTGTGTCAGCTGAAGTGAATTATGAACACTAATGAAAGAAAGTCACTTTCGGCGTTTCCCGTTTAGGGGTCGCCACAGCGAATCATCACACTGACGACTCGCATGTTGACATTTGGCACATGTTTTACGCCAGATGCCCTTCCTGACGCAACCCTGATTTGAACCCGGGCCACAGCGGTGAGCGAATTACGAACACTAATAAATGGTAGAAACTTGTATATACAGTGGGTATGGAAAGTATTCAGACCCCCTTAAATTTTTCACAGTTATATTGCAGCCATATGCTAAAATCATTTGTTCATTTTTTTCCTCATTAATGTACACACAGCACCCCATATTGACAGAAAAACACAGAATTTTGGACATTTTTGCAGATTTATTAAAAAAGAAAAACTGAAATATCACATGGTCATAAGTATTCAGACCCTTTGCTCAGTATTTAGTAGAAGCACCCTTTGTGCTGTCCATTT